CACTATACCCAATATACCGCATTCAAAGAAGCATTGCGATTTTGAATGGGAAGTAGAAGGTGCCGCGCATCCCAGAAAAGCTGCACAAATGGCAAAGCATTAACATTTACCTTGAATCAGTGAGCTGCAAACCAAACAGACCGCTAAACACTAGCAGGAAATTCATGAAGCTACTGGTTAGACGGGTGAAAGAGAAAGTCACCGGCGTCACTTGCCAAGCGATCGAACGAATAAAAGACACTGAGAAGCGCTGCCAGCACTGCGATCCGGTAGAACAGCTCTTTATCACCCCACATTCGTCTTCCGTTGGTAACGCCCATGGTAGTAAAGACTGCTTGATTCGAAAGTCCTCGGACATTTGTGGATGTCTTCATCCAGAAAGGTTTATCCCGCTAACTTTTAGATCTCCCGGGCACTTCGAAGAGCCGTTTGATAGAGAAAGTACGGTTCACAAAACAATTCTGAACGTTTGCCTGAACAGTGCTTTGTTTCTAATATACTGCCAGAATTCACGCCCACTGAAGAACATCTCCGCAACGTAATGCTGTTTCTGATCTTTTCTGGCCTTAGCCCTAACCCTCCTCCGCCTGCAGGATGTTTCTATGGAGCTTTACTCTTGTGCGCCAAGTTCAAGAAAGGCGATTATTCTATCGAAGGGCAGGGCGGCCAACGACTGTGGATTTGGACGTACTACGGGGCAGGTAGAGGCGAACCCAAACCAAACCACTCGTGAGCTGTTCGCTAAGCTTGCTGTTAGCCAACCGATGGTAGTCCATGGACTGAAGTCAGTATGAAAAATTCAAAAACTCAGCCGATGGGTACCACGTGCATTCTCACGGAGAGACACGGATCGGAAGATCAACACGACGCTTCCTCTTCTCACCCTAAAACGCACACACGCGTGGCTGGACAACCTATCACCAGAGATGAAAAGTGGGTACTATACTCCAACATGCGCCGCCGTGCCCAATGGGTAGACAAAGGAGGACAAGCAGAAGACGTCCCAAAACCTGACCTGCATGAAAGAAAGTGATGCTATGCATCTGGTGGGGTGTTCGTGGGGTAGAATAATGGGAACTATTGAAAGAATGTACAACAGTGACCGCAGACATCCGCGTGCTCACTTCACGAACATATGGGGAAGCAAGCCAAAGTGTACTTCCACCGTGAAAACGCCACAACACACATTGCAAGGGCGACGAAGTGGGAACCAGCGACGTATGGCTGCACTGTTCTTCCCAACCCACCATGCTCTCCAGACCTTGCACCCTCTGACTACCACCTATTCTCGAACCTGCAACACCATTTGGACGGTCAAATTCAAAACCCACGACGAGGTCGAAGGGGCACTAGATGGATTCTTCTAAGCTCAGAAAACCACTTTTGGGAGGAAGGCATCCACGATTTACTCACTCGTTGGCGAAAGACCGTAGATAATAATTTAGCATATTTCATAAGACTAGCTGTAATTGTTTCACTTTGGTGCAGTAATAAATTTTAAGCTTCAAGAATCCGAGGACTTTTGAATCAACCTAATACAATCGGTATTGCATGCCCCTTCGTCATATTGTTCTTTACTTATTTACTACTCATCAGCAAAGTGCCTCAGGACAACAGTGGTACGGAACTGGTCTCTATTTCCTTTTCGCCGCGTCATCGCTGCAGCGAGCGCAAGCCGGTGGATTTTCCGCGAAGGCCTGGCCAGACAATGTCAATCAAGTGAAACTGACTAGAACTGTTAAATAGCTCACCTGCTTTGAGCACCCGTTGAACTTCGCGAAACATCCTTTGAACACAGTCTATTTGCTGTTCACTAGGTTCTGGTGGTAGAAGAGCATCTAGAGTTCCTTTGTCAATTACTACAGAAAAATCGTCATCACCAAAAGACATCTGAAAGAAACCAGTTTTCTAGCAATCCATGTTTCTTATGCTAAAAAAATACGGACCGAAGTTGCGTCATCCTTTGAAAATTCTAATTCGGAACGTTCACGATTTCTGAGCTGTTGCGCCTCTATCACCGATGATTCAGTATCGATGCTGTGGACATTCCGAAAGCCATTATCGTACATCTGAATAGGGATCTGAGCATTTAGTTGCAAAAGAAATGGCAACGAAGGAGACGCGCGGGGTAGCGTCGCGATAGCACACACGATCGGTTGTCCGCCTTTGGACAAGAGGGTAGTGAAAGCATAGGTTTTAAGTTTTGATTGAAGGCTCAAAAAATATAACAGGATGTGGGTTCGGGTGAATGAAAATGAATACAGTGAATTAGGGCGCGTCCACGCTCAACCCGTTGAGAAATTAGGAAATTCGCTGAAACGGGAGACCCGTGGAGATAGAG